AAAATATCCAAATCAATGAAGTTATTGGTGAAAATGAAAAATGTGTCCTTTATTTTATGGAAAAAACTAAATAAATGTTTTGGCCAACCCAATATATTGTATATTACTAAAGGACATGTCTGTGTGTACATATACAAATTAGGATATAATTATATCTAATTATAAATATCAATTTTTAAAGATGAAGAATCTTCTATTATTCTCTATACATTCCTTTATGTTGGGAATACTTCATAAAATCTAAGATACCTCATTCTTTCAGAAAAGAAAGGAGAGAAGGAAAAGAAACTCAATGATAACTCTATATAAATGACAAAGACACTTTTTTCAATATAAAAAGTTAAAAGCAATTTAGTGTTCTCAGGACATGCTGAGGAACAGTTGTTCCCAACAGCATTAGCAACTGTGTTGGAGTGAGCGGTTAAAGTTTAAATTGTAATAGTTGATACTAGAAGCTCTCTATTGAGAAGTAGTAGGCATCCCATTGAATTTTTATGTTTTGATGGTAAGCTATTATGTTAAGAACAGAATTTTATTTAGAAGTTATTTTTCATTTAGTTAGAAATACCCTAACTTGGATATTTTATTGTTAAAAAAAAGAAAATGGGTTTTATAAGTATTTCAGTTTCTAAATGAACTACTTTTTTAAAAGATTTTATTTATTTATTTTTAGAGAGGGAAGAGAGGGAGATAGAAAGAGAGAGAAACATCAATGTGCGGTTGCTGGGGGTTATGGCCTGCAACCCAGGCACGTGCCCTGGCTGGGAATCAAACCTGGGACATTTTGGTTCCCAGCCTGCACTCAATCCACTGAGCTATGCCAGCCAGGGCTCTAAATGAACTATTAACCTTTTTTATTTTATAAAAATCACTAGTGACCATATTCAGTGACATATGCATTCAAATTAATTCATATGTATATATATAAATACATACATATATATCCTTAAACTAAATAAAATTATTATTTCTTATTTTCTAAGCTACTTATATCTGAATTGAGTGAAAAATTTGTACTTCTGTTTCTATCAAGTGTGACTGATCATTTTGTAGCTTGACCCTGAATAGAAGATTTAGTATGTAGAGCCAGTGTAAGCTCATAAAACTTGATTTAAAGTAAAAAATACTTTTAGTGAAAGAAAAATTACAATAACATCATGCATACATTTAAGTACTCTTCTCTGATAACTAGTCATATTAAGAGTTTATCTAGTCAAATTGAGAAGCAATCTTAAAAATGAAGGCAATTTCAGGTGGTGCTCTTTATTAGAGCTTCCAGAGAGATACAAGACTTTCTAGCTCCTACTTTTTTTCCCAACAGTGTCTGCATACCATGGCCATGACTACATGATCAAATCGTTTTGGAAAAAAAGTCTCACAAAATAAGCACACTTAGGACTACATAAGTTTTACAGTTATGGTTAATTCTACATTTTAATTAGATGTTTTCAATAAGTGAAACACTCCTCGTAACTATAACTTTGTGCATTATTTGGATTGTTTTCTTTAAATATTCCCGACAATAATATACTATCATCCCATTGTAAATGATTGCTACATTTAATAATATTTTATCACCATGTTTCCCAGAATCTTTGTGGTAGTTTTATAATATTATCCTGCAAAATTTTTCTTTAAAACAAACAAAAAAAAAACCAAAAAGCCTTCAGGTGATGAACAGTTATAGTATTCCATCATTTAACATTTTGATTTGAAATCTGTAGGTCAGATAACACTATCTTTTTTTTTTCTTTTCATTTTTTTATTTTTTAATGTATATTATCGATTATGCTATTACAGCTTTCCTATTCCCCCCCCTTTATTCCCCTCCTCCCTGCACACCCCCTCCCACCCGCAACCCTCCCTTTAGTTCCTGTCCATGGGTTGTCCATGTATGTTCTTTGGCTTCTATCTTTTTTCCTCCCTTATGTTTCTTAGATGAGCACCAACTAAGAATCCTGCTTGTTATACTGTTTTGAGGTATTGATGAAATGACGATGGTGAAGTTGAGACACAGAGCAGAAAAGCATTAATTATGGCACCTGAATTTCCAGCTATTTTTTCTTTTTTTAAAGATTTTATTTATTTTTAGAAAGGGGAAGGGAGGGAGAAAGAGAGAGAAAGAAACATCAATGTGTGGTTGCCTCTCACATGGCCCCCACTGGGGATGTGGCCTGCAACTCAGGCATGTGCCCTGACTGGGAATCGAACCTGCAATGCTTTGGTTTGCAGCCCGCGCTCAATCCACTGAGCTATGCCAGCCAGGGCTATTTTTGTACTAAATATTCTAATAAATATTTCCTTAATTGGGTTAGAAAACTGTAACTACTTGACCATTTAAAAGTACCTATTAAATTTTAAATAATAACAGGAACTGAGCATTTTATGTCAACTTTAAAAGATGCAGCATTATACTTATATTTTTCAAAAAATTTCATTAAATTTATTGGAATGACATTGGTTAATAAGATTATGTGTCAAGTGTACAATTCTACAATACATTATCTATGTATTGCATTGCGTGCTCATTGGACCACAGAAAGTCTAGTCTTCTATCACCATATAGTTGATGTCCCTTAGCCTCATCTTCCTTTTAAAAGACATAATACTATCCCTGAACTAATCATTTTGTAGAGAAAAAAACACAGCCTGGAAACAGTCCAGTTAAATATTCTCAGCTAAACAAGACATACTTTCTGCAATTCCCAGTTACTTCCCTCATCACTTCATCGGTCTCTGAAATGTCTTTTCTGTTTCACAGTAATATTCTCAGGGGGCTACCCAACCTTGGATTAAACACTTGACTTGCCACAGGTTGGTGTTTGTGGTGACCTTTGAAATCCTACTGGCATTTTTTGGTAGAACTTTCAGTACAGAGAAGTAAAGCATAATATCTTGTTCTCAGTAAGCTAAAATGTCACCATCATTTTCCAAGTCATTAAGAGGTCAGAGGTAATCCTTTTAAGATAAACTCACCAAATCAGAAATCTATTAAACTCCAGAATAAGACCAATTTGCTTATTTCACAGCCAGCTGATGCTTTGTTGGCTGTCTATTTATTGAAAAGCATGAACTGGGGGCAAGAAAAATGATGAGGAAAACACCAAAAAAGAGAGAATAAATATAATATTTTAGATGGCAGAATTTCTAGAGGTCTTGGTAATCTCTCTTTGTCCTTTATTCTCCAGAATTCCAGAGATATATATGGAGAAATTTATTATTTCCACATTATTACTGGTAACTTAACCTACTCTGTCAATCTTTTATATAATTAACCAAAATCATGCTTTGCTGCTCTAACGAACAGAAAATTATACTGGCCAGAGAGATTCAGTGGTATTGAAGTAATAAACTATCTGTCCTTGGAGAAATCATTTATGTTTTCTGTGCCTCAGTTGACTCACCCAGCCTAGATAATCTCTAGGGCCCCTTCCAGTCCTATAAGCTTTTGATTCCATGAATTTTCTTAGGAAAATGAGAAACATATTTTCTCTTCATAAGGCAGACCTTTAATTATGATTTGATTATCATAAATTCAAAGTGAGACACAGTTTTTATCTTTGGCACAAGTCTTTGTATTAGACTATGTAAGTAAATAAAATGTTTATTATAACAAATTTTTAAAAAGTAAATGTTTGTAAAAATGAATTCTTCCATTGATTGCCTTCCTGCCTTATCTTCTGTTGTTAGCTTTCTTCTCAATAGATGGTGCTGTTTTGTCAGAGACACTACTTATCTTACTCTTCATCAAAAGATCAGGGATATTAGTATTACTGTTTAATAATCATAATTAAAGAAATGAGATATATAAGTATAAAGAATTGATCACAAGCTACATGCAGTACATAGATAATGAAAGCATAATGAAGAAAAGAAATTGTTAAATGATTAAAAATGCCCCCTAAAATCTGCAATATTTGCTGAATAGATGAAGCAAATATTGGAGCTAAACATGAAAATTCCATGTTCACTACATACATAGAACAAATAGAACCTCTCTTTGTAGGAAGAACATCTTAATTCAGGGACCATTTGAAAGTGTTAAATTCTTTATTTACTTTAACAAGATTGATGGTATGGTCGTCCATATTAACCTGTGGATTTTGAGTACACCCATCAACAGTAACACTAATACTAACACAATCTACAGCCATCTCAACTCATATTGAGAGCTGGCACACTCTTTGCCAAGTAAACCTGGGGCATCTGGGAAACAGAAAATGGGCCACAAACTCCTTTGAAAGAATTTCCCAGGATAAAGACACTTTTTATTTTTTTAAGAACAATCATTACAACTTCCTATATAATAGTTTGATGCTGCTTAGAGACGCGTCTACCTGGTTCCCCCTTTGGAGGCGGTGAAACAGTGTACCCTGCACCTCCCCTGAACCCATTTCAGTGTGTGACGCCCCTGGCTGATCCACAGCTGCTCCCTGAAAACCGGCCCAGGCAACACAACCGTCATACTGGTTACAACAAAGCAACACCGTGGAGAGACACACAGGCACACGTCCTTTAGAGTGTGGCCACAGGACGGTGGGAGTGGGGTTTGGCCAGGGAAGAGGAGGGTGGCGACCTCGGACAGCAAAGTGCATGGAAACCAGCAGGAACACAAAAAGTTGTTAAGGTTCATCTCCGAAAAGGACTGAGAAGGAGACTCGGCCTCGTCCCCCAGGTAGAGGAAATCAACTATTTTCCCCTTATTCGCAAATTACTGTTTCCACAGCTTCTGCTAAAAGGGCTGTGGGATTGTGCCCAGGGGCCATTTCGGAGCAGTATAAGGGAGCTCTAAGAACATTTTTTTTTTTGCCAGAGCTTCAGAGCTTTTACCAGAGCAACTTCTCCGTCTCTGAAATTTTGGGTTCTACTTCACCGGGGGGAGGAAGGAGGGAATAGAAAAGTAGGATTTCGCCCAACACTCTGCCTGGAGGCTCAGGTACCCCTTTGCGCCGCTATTAGCCCCCGAAGCCTCCGCTGGGGAGCCCTGGCGCCTTTCTTACCTGACAATCACGTACATGACCAGGAAGTTTCCGAAGAGACCCACAACGCACACCACGGAGTAGAGGGCCATGATGGTGACGGCCGTGATCACCGAAGGGCTGCCGCTGGAAGGGCACAGGCTGTCGCCCCCGCCCAGCTCGGTGCGGTTTGGGCCGCACGGGTCGGACAGGTTACCCTCCGAGTGGGACAAGTTGACCCAGGAGCCGGGGCTCGGGGCTGCGGCCGCGCAACTGGCGGAGCGCACGAAAGGATCCGTGCAGTTGCCGGCGTTCCCGGGGCCGGGGCCGCTGTCCATGGTGCTGACGGCCGGTCCGGACCGGGCTGGGAGGTAGCCGCGAGCGCACCGACTTTTCGGGCTCCGCGCGCCTCAGCCGCTTCCTCCCGCGGCTGCCAGGGCTCCCGCGGCTCTGACAGAGCCCACCCCTGGCGGATCCAGATGGGAGCGCCAGGCAGAGGGGGAGCACGGAGCATCTGACGTTATCCTCCGCTTGCAGCCCCCTCCCACCCTAGTAGGACAGAGACTGGTCCCCAAACCCACACCGCTAGGGGGTGGGGAGGGAGGGCAGTGCAGGACGCGGAGGCTGGAGGGGAGGGACGGGAGGGAAGGGGTGGATTTTGCGCAACGCGATCCAACCAGTTGTTCCCCCGCCCTCGGCACTCATCTGTGCAAACACCTCTCAGGAGGAGCAGCATGGAGAAGGGAGTTGGGAGGAAAGGGTGGGGACTGAGACGACCAGAGAGTTAGTTTTTGACAGCAGTAACGCGTGAGAAAGGCGGCTGACATCACTCTGTGTTTGCAGCGCAGATTTGTCCGTATATACTGTGATAGAGCATTGGCCTCAAGCAACTCGAGCGACCCCTGCAACCCAACCCACTTCCGTCCCTATTGCCTTCCGCAGTCACTTGAGGCAGAGGGCAATCAATCCCTGTTCGTTAGCTTTCCTCCCTGCACATCCAGGAAAAGGGAACTGTGTTTTGCATGTCACAAATGGGAATTTACAACCCTCCAAACCTGCCTGAAATGACAGTGGCCTTTTCTCCGAAAAAGAAATGAGAAACGTATCAACTTTCGTGGGTGGAACCTATTAATTTTACCCTCCAGTCCCTAGCTTTCTCCTAGCGTAGACGCTCCCGCTGCCTCTGGTTTCTGTCCTGTGGGCCAGAGGCACCAGGAACGAGTTGCAGAAATCAGGGGTTGGTGGTGGCATCCAGGGAAGTCAGCCAACAGTGATGCGTAACCTCCACATCTTAAATCTCATGGATTCATTTGAAGTGATTGATGACCCGTTTTATCTGCAGACTTCTCATGTGCAAGTGTGAGTCTCAGGAAAATGGTGTCGAAAACCAAACAGCGTTTGCATTAACTCAGGCTGTTTTCTTGTGCGGAAATTTCAGGAGGAAGCTCCTAGATATCTTAACTGTAGTGGCCCACACAAATTTAAAGAATATTGTATATTTTAAGACATGATACCTAATTTCCAGGTACATAAATACTTCTATTTTAGAAATAAATGTGTAAATCAATCCAATTAGGTTATTTTTGGGTGGGGGAAGTAAAATTAATACTAATTCTGAGGTAGTTTTCATTTTTATACATGTGTACATTTGTGTATGTATATACTTTTTAACAATAAGCACTAAATACCCCCAATTGGTTGTAGAAAGTTATACTCTTGGGGAGCAGAGAGTGGGGTGGGTTAGGAAGTTTGGAAGGAATATTTAATCCTAATATTATTTTTTATCATCTTCTTGAAAACAGGTAACTCATAAGTAAAAATACCTTACCATATTTTGTCCTATGAAATAATGTATCAGTTCACTCACACTGAGCTGCATGCAATCTGTCTGCCATTGTTCAGTTTCTTGAGGGCATGTAGCAGCAGTCTGAATTTACATCATGTGCACAACAAATGTGTACAATGTAACAAAACCTGGCCTTGGAGTTGAATCATTTTGTGAACCTTAGATTTGAAACTTTTTAGGTGTATGAGTTTGGATATGTTACATTACCTCACTGAGTGACAGTTTTCTTACAGTAAAAAAAAAATTATAATACCTCACATGTCTGTTAGGATTAAATGAGATAATGTAATAGTAGTTGTTTAATAAATGATAAATATTATTGTTACATTTTATGTCTTTGAAAATAATGTAGTAGTTTCTTCTACAAGTTAAACATTACTTCCTTTGGCTGTTTCTTTTTTTTTAAGATTTTATTTATTTATTTTTAGAGAGAGGGGAAGGGAAGGAAAAAGAGGGGGAGAGAAACACCAATGTATGGTTGCCTCTTGCACACCCCATACTGGGGACCTGGCCTGCAACCCAGGCATGTGCCCTGACTAGGAATTGAACCAGCGACCCTTTGGTTCACAGGCCCTCACTCAGTCCACTGAGCTACACCAACCAGAGCCCTTTGGTTGTTTATTATACGATATAGTTTTGGGTTTTTGTTCTAATATTTTTGTCTTTTATCTGTTCACTTTATAGTTTGTCTATCTGCTCCTAAAGTATGACTCCAGAGGTAAAAATAGCTGTTTGGTCTGACCCATAAAAACTGAGCAAGACTATAAACTTCTTCTTTCTACCAATATAGCTATTGGAAGGTCGCATCACCCCCAACCCCCACCCACACTTTAAAGTTACATTGGTCTCTTGACTCTTCTTTAGACTTAGTATTGACAAAATCCCCTAAACGTGACTCAAGTCAGCTTGGCAAATACTCATTAAAGATCTACTCTGCACCAGGTGTGGAGTTAAAAACCATAGCTGCAATTGTTTTTGAACAAAGGAGCTTGCTTCTTATGCCTGATGAGTCACATTTTTCTTGTCCTATGAACATATGGTTGTTTTAAAAGGATCTCAGTACAATAGTATAGGTTTTTAATTTTAATATTATATCTTGTTAGATGCAGTTCCTGGTTCAAATCTAGAAATCTCTTGGCATAGTGAGTGTCCTCTTTTATGGGCATGCTTCCTACTTCATATGTCCTACCCGCCCAGCTTTACATCACCTGAGGTTCTTGAGGGCTGGCCTGCTCACAACGTAGCACTTAATACAATGTGGACTCCCTTCCTTTTGCTTTCTGTATGTATGCACATATATAATATTTTAATTGAATTGAAAAATAAGTAGTGTGGTTTTCACAAAAGCTATTGGGCTGAATATTTGTGTCTCCCCAAAAGACATGTGTTGAAATCCTAATGTCCAATGTGATGGCATTAGGAGATGGGGTCTTTGGGGTGTAGTTAGGTCACAACGGTAGAGATTTCATGAGTGAGATGACTGCCCTTATAAAAGAAACTCCAGAAAACTCCTAGCTGTCGTTCCACCGAAGGTGCAATGAGAAGACAGCAGACCGCGAGCCAGAAGAGAACCCTCACCAGAACCTCACTGTGCTGGCACCAGGGTGTCAGACTTCCAACCTCCAGACCATGAGGAATACATTTCTGTTGCTTATAAATCACTGTTTATGGTATTTTGTTGTAGCAGCACAGACTGACTAAGATAATAACATCATCTAAATTAATCTGGGTGGTTTTAAAAAACAAAACACTTCTATGAATACTTTAATGATAATACTTAAAAAAAACACTTTGTATATTCTGCTAATCAGCCAGGACTTAAATGTATATAGACGTATAGACTGGCCTTGTGACTTTTCTTCTGGAATTACTCAACAAGCAACACAATTCCTATTGTACTTCTCTGGAAACATTATTTGTTTTTTTATTCTATTTTTTTTAAAAAATATTATTGTTTGGACTAGGCATTTGACCTTTGTGCTTCAACTGTATATTTCTAAGTGAAATTTGATATTTTCTTTTTCTATTATTCTTTCTTAAGTTTCATTAAGGATAACTATTTCTCTATTTTAAATGCAGGATTTCCTGGACATTGTTGAAAGTATTAAATTTTACTAACATCTGTATCGCTGTATCTCACATCTATTCAATATACAATTTGGAAAAATGCAGAACAAGTTTAATTTCTCTTTCAAATATCTTAAGATAGCCTTAGGGAACCCAGGGAAGAGCTGTGAAAGAATAAACAATTAATACCACTCAATACATAGCACACAAGACCTCAAATTCTAGCTTCCATTATATCTTAGCTGCCATATAGGATGTTCTCTATTTCCATAATTGCACAATTTCTACTGGAGTGATCTCAAGTCTGCTGTGAAATCTCAGGTCTCTTGTGAAAGGAGGTGAACTAACTGTAAGTACTTGAGTCAGTTTACTACAAGCCTAGCTATTTTAGGTAACATGGATTCTAATCAAATAACATTTAATTTCCTTTATGTATTATTTGTATAATAGAAATTTCAGCCTTTATGTAGAGAGTCCTTGCTTAACATAGCTTTTCTATTTGAAAAAGAAAAACTTATCTGTCAGTCAAAATTTAACGTTGATATTAAGTCCACGTCATACATTTTTTTTCAAAATAATATTGGCTTCAAAGAAATGCTTTTAGTAATAGCTAGCATGGATCTAGGCAAGTGCTAAAAGTTACTCTTCTTCCTTGAATTTCAAAATATGTTGACTTTAGTTATTCATGTAATTGCCATCATCCCACACTTATTTCAATAGCTTAGTCTTGATTTTGTTTTTGAGACTGCCTGTTAATGGAACACATTACTAACAGGTATTAATGTAGAACATCGACATGAATACTATGCATGAGACTATTACAATGGTTCAAAGTTCAGGAAAAAATGGGATATCCAATGTTTTATTAAAATAATATATTATGTGTTTGCAAATATTTTCTGTTATCTAACATCTAAATTTATAGAACTAGTGAAAACATAAACAAATTAGGATACAAAATTATCCTCGATCACTGTATTGTCACATAAACATACAGAGAATTGGAACAGCTACCCTTATTTATAAGGTAAAAATAAAACAAAAAAGAAAAAAAGAGAAATTTTACAACTACCTCAACCTGATAAACCTAAAAGAAAGACATCTGGGATAGAGTGGGTATAAGCCCTTAACTTTAAATAACAAAGCAACTCAAAATCCAAACCCTGCTACTTGCTTCCGTGTGAGATATATAGATGTATGTATGTATGTATCTATAATGCTTCCTGATACTTGGTTTTCTCTTCTGTAAAATAAAAATAAGGGAATTAACTTCAAAGGAGTTTGGCAGGACTACTTATATATGAAAGAATGTATCCTTTGCCTTTAGCTTCGTACATCTTGTTGTATGTGGCCTGGAGATTAACAAGAATTATTGGAATTTTTACATTGTATTTCATACTGGTATAGAATGGACCTTAAAGGGCTTGATTCTCTTAAGGG